TGTTCAAGGAAGTTAATATGCTCAAAAAAGACATTTTAATCAAACATTAGTAATTACCACTGAAAAAATTCGTGCTGTCGGCAGATATTACATTAATCAAAAAGCACAAAAGATAACGCTCAGAATCACTCCTTCTACGAAATTGCAAAGTCCTATCTATTGTAATCCTTACACCTCCCTTTATGCTCTTTCCAGTTTGCCCAGAATCACGTCACGCCTAAATAATTAGTTTTTTTTTTGGCGGAAAATGGTGCTTGAAATTTCATCAGTTGCCAAAGTCTCGTTTAGACAAACTGTCGTATAAGTGCTCGACATGGATTTTAATAAATATTAAACGGTCTTTGTTCTTAAACCGCGAACATTCTGGTAATAAGTTCTGCACTGCCGATTCATCGTATTCTTTTCTGCTTAACAAACCGAAAAATTTTCTGTAGAGGCAGCCAACAGGCCACACCTCAGCTACATTGATCATGCCAAAATCGTCCCACACAACGGCGATGCAGATTGGCGCATAACATTCAAGCCTAAAGCTTTCGATAAGGTCAGTCACCAATTATTGCTTTTTAAGCTGAGTAAAGTTAATATTGACTTAAACGTTCTTCAGTGGATTCAACATTTTCTGTCTCATCGCTCACAGTTCGTATCTGTTAATGGCTCTAATTCCCATTTAACACCTGTTAACTCTGGTGTTCCGCAAAGTTCGGTTTTAGGACCATTACTCTTTCTTATTTACATCAATGATCTGCCAGCCATCATTTCATCCTCTGTGTGTTTATTTACAGATGATTGCGTTATTTACCGGGAAATTTCTACCGACAGTGACACAGCCTTATTGCAGTCAGATCTAATCTCAATATCTAACTGGTGCCGCACGTGGCTAATGGAACTAAACATCACCAAGTGCAAGTCAATGCGTGTGTCCCGTCGTAATACTGTTTGTCCGACTTATTACCTTAATAGCGCTCCACTGGAGCCCATGCACTGTTATAAATACCTTGGCATCCACATAACATCTGATCTTTCATGGAATATTCAAATTGAACATGTTATTAACAATGCTAACCGCGTCCTAGGCTTTTTGAGAAGGAATTTTAGTTCTGTGCCGTCATCTCTCAAACTTCTTTATAAATCACTTGTTAGATCGAAGCTGGAGTACGCAGCCTCCGTTTGGGACCCCGGCTTGGAATACCTCGTTTAATCATTGGAGGCCGTCCAAAACAAATCCGCACATTTCACACTTTCCAACTACCACCGTACTTCTAGTGTAACCTCCATGAAACTATCGTTATCGTTACCCACTCTTGCGTTACGTAGGCAATATCCTCGTCTGTCCCTTTTTCGCAAAATTTATCATAATCCGGCCATGCGTCACAATCTACTAACTCCTCCATATTATATTTCCCGTCGTTTAGATCATAAGAACAAAGTGGGCGTCTTTCCATGCAACACTAATGCATTTTTTTATTCATTCATACCGCGCACTTCTGTGGAATGGAACCACCTTCCTCATGACAGTGCCACCATTGATAACTTGTGCATTTTTAGAGATTGTCTATCTAACTTCTTATCTTTTTTTATATATGACTGTGCTTATTTTGCCTGTTATTTCTTTGTATTTTCCACTCCCCTCTGTAATGTCTTCGGACCTTTAGGGTAAATAAATAAATAAATAAATAAATAAATAAATGGAACCTGAGTGCCTGAAACCGGTTTCTTAACAACGACCGCAATGATCATTCCTGCGATATCGTCGACGCTTGATGCAACGTCTAGACACAAAGAGAGCCTTATTCTTCGGTGGGCGACGTACAGATAAGCTCACCTGCGTTGCTCGTTCCGGCCGTCGCCTTACCTCTCATTTTCTTCTGGAGCATGGTGAATCCTTCCTCGTCGGTTACCAGTCGTCTTACATTGGTACCAGCAGTCGACACAACCACTCGCTCTCCGCATCCCGTGTCAGTTCCGCGAGTTCCAGCGGCTGTGTGACGAACCTGCCTCGTCACTTGTGCGTTTGCACCGGGCAAAGGGTCCCGAATCACTGACGCATAAAACGACTGACACGCCAAGGCGACTGAGTGCTCAGCGACTTAGGAAGTACCTCCTTACTTTGAACAAAAATAATATTCAGCTGTGCGTCATCCAATCGCAGAACTTTTAACCCAGCTGAAAGCACGTCTAATTTCTGATAAAACTGAAGAATCATTTGGCGTAAGTCGATTTCCTTTTTGTGATCTTGATCCTGCTTCACGCTGATCTGTGTCGCTGCGGGGAACAGCACTGCCGGTCATGGCGTCGGTGCTCAGCCTAGCCGAAGCGGGGTCCCTTCGTCTGCGGCATGCCGAACACTCCTAGGTGCTCACTCAATCTCTCGCCAACAGGCCTACTCATCATCAACGACGTTCACACACTTTCAACGGAATCGTTGGTTGCAGGTTGCAGAGCACAGGTTGCAGTGCTGTCTTCCGATGAAAGGCTGGGAGCAGCTTTCATGCACGTCCTTTTTTTTTCGACATCATCCGGTCGAAAAAGCTGCAATAACGTGCTCCTTTTGGATCTCAGCACCTACCGAGTACCGTACTTGGTGACTTTTTGAGCAAATAACGAGTAAGAGTATTTAGTTACTCACTTACAGGAACGTCAACACGTCTGATTTCAAACCATTGTACTGTGACAAAGCTGCCGATTAAGGCTGATGCACATTTTGGCGTCTTACCGTTCACAACACCAAGTGTGTTGTGAATTCTTGAGACCACTTGCGACGATAGACCATACTTGCGCAATCTATAAGATAACCATGAACCACTTCTAACCCGCGTTAATTTCCTAATTGTTTTAAGCATCATTTTTTCACTACGAGCTTGAGAACAATAATGAGTAAGCAGTTCGTGAAACGTTTGGGAAAAAAGCAGTGACGTCATGGAGCAAGTATTCAAAGGATGTCAAGATCAGGCTCATGGACGGCTGTACTATGGTGGAAAGTTGGGCGAGATGGTGGTGCATGATTAAAGTCCTGATGTCCCTACCTTAGCCTTGTACTTGTTTCATTGCATTGCTCCCTAAGACCATCCCACCCTTGCCCCGCCTAAGACCCTCCCCCCGTCCTTCCTTCCCCCGATTCCTGGGCCTTTTGCTTACGAAGGCCTTTCGACGGACGCCACTGCGGCCGACAGTTGAGAACTGTATGAAGGGCCTCTTACCGTGAAACGTAAATCAAGCCCAAGTGGAAGGTTTGTCACCGAAAAAACAAGGATGAAAAAGTAGTATCCGGAACGTCCATATCTTGGTGTTCAACATTGCGTGGCAACAAAAAAAAAACAGCTTAGCATTATCAAGTATCAATGTGCACCGCACAATGAAATACAGATAGGACTGGATAACTAGAAGGCAGGCACGTAGCCAGGAGGGTGGCCCGTGGGGCCCGGGCCTCCTCCGAAATCTTCCATTTTGCCAGGGCCTCCTCCCCCCTCCGCCTCATACAACATCTTGTCATGGGCGGCGGCGCCCCCCCCCCCCCCTCCCCCCCCCCCCCCCCCCCCCCCCCCGAAACAAAATCCTGGCTACGTGCCTGCTAGAAGGGTTTTGTTGTTGGGTTTCTCTATGTCCCCTCATACAATGATAGCCCGAGTTATATTTTGTATATTTTTGTAAAATATATACTATGTAAAAGGCATGTCCTTAGGAGAAATACTCAGCTATACACCTAGAGGTATTTCTCAAAAAGCGGGTCAAGTCGTTCCCGCGAAAAGTCAGCATCGCACAGAAGAAAAAAAAAATTGATGAAGTATCGGTTCCTGCCAAAGGCACATTTAAGAAAAGAGAACAGGGGTTGATACAATTAGGTTAATATTTGCTTTCAGTAATTAACTTCGTAATTTTAAAAAGTGCACAGTATCATTCCAATTAGAAATATGGTGCGCATCATCCGAGACTCTTGAATCCACCCACATTAAGAAGAGGTAAGGCATGCAAAGCATTTCACGGCGCTCCAAAAACAAACACTCAATTTGGACGGCGTTGCGGAAAACGAGGGGGGGGGGGGGGGGGGAGTACTTAGGTGGCAACGAAATGAAAAACAAATACAAAGCAGCACGGCTTTCTTAACCATAAGATGGAGCAGCACCAATATACAGCCTTCGTCGGTTAAGGAAAATGTCTCTTTGGAGCCGACGTCGTACGGAAAGGCCTCTATAACAAAAGACAACCTAGCTCAGTTTGAGTGAAGAGTTGTTGTCATATTCCTATTTTTGAAATATATTACCCAATCTTTTGTCATCACAAATTAGTTCAAGACACTGCAAAAAGTTAAGAGAACTTTAAAAGAAATAAAATATTTTTTAATTTAATATTCACGTGCAATTGTACCACATTTAGATAAATCACTTGCGTTTCTGCATTAACGACGCAACTACAATGTTGGTTAAGCATATATATTAATATATTTGTAGAATGTATTTAAGGATGCTGATTTTGATCATTTTTGTGTCATTTTATATGAAGTAGTTTAATGGTAAACAATTTGTGAATGCGTATCTAAAACGTGTTTACCTGATTGGTTTGGTAGGTTTTTTTGCATTAAACTTTTTAATTCATTTTTTTCATATTTTACGTACATATTGTAACCTATGATAAAAATAAGCGGGAAAATTTATTGCTACGTGCATGCTTTGATCTGAAACTGACGGCTGTGCAATATAACACGGTGAATCCTTAGCAATCTCCATGCATCGAGCTTCAAAATTTCATATCTTCAGAAACAACTAATTAACTACAACGTTTAAATATAGCTGAACATATCATTAACAAATATTTTTACATAAAAATAAAAAAGATATGACTCAGACCATTATTGTACAATCTGACGTAGAATCATCCTGCTATAAGTGCAATTTAATTGCGCCTTGTATATTGTTATTGAAAATATGTGCCCATGAGTTTCTCAAATCTTGGTCCTCCTCGTTCAGCTTGTAATGTTATTGTTTATTTAATCCTGTTCCCCATAGGCAAATGCGTGTACCAGGGAGTTGAGATTGCTCACAATCGAACGGCCCATAACGTGAGTCCCTGCGAATCCTGGACGTGTGACGTGAACGAGGGCACTGTGCATATCGTTGGGTGAGTACTCCCCGCACCCCTTGCTCAACTACTGTAATTAGAAATAATGCTGCGATGAACTGCGTTCACACCGTATGAAATTTAAACACCTAACTTTGCAAATACCAAAAAAAAAACATAAGAGAAAATATTTTACTTCTAAACAATTAATTCGGAGAAGGGGAACAATGCGGACACAATCTCCAAACACAGCTAGGGGACTGGTGCGCGACCGAAAAAATTCCGTCAGTCACCTAGCTGTGCTAGGAGAATTGTGTTTGCCCTTTGTCTCCTTCGTTTCCATTCTACAGGGATTATTGTCCAACTCTTTTGTACCTTTGCATTTATTGCATTATTATAGCAATTGATTCGGGATGGCGGCAAGGACCGAATCGGTGGATCCAGCCAGTGGCGTAAGGGGGGGGGGGGGGGGTGGAAATCTCGCCCCCTCCCTTCCAAAATGCAAAAGCACTAAATTAAACGGGAACATTTTCCCGCTAAATTTAGTGTGAAAATTCCCCCCCTTAAACTCAGCAGAAAAATTTCCCTGCTAACTTTAGCAGAATAATTTCCCCGGTAAATATTGCGGGAATATTCACGTCACGTGACCTCAACAAGAATTCAGTTTCCCCGCTAAATTTATCGGGAAAATGTTCGTTCCATTTCCCCGCTAAATTTATACGAAAAATGTTTGTTAAATTTTCTCATTATATTTAGCTGGAAAATTGACGTCACGTGACCTTAACACGAATTCGGTATCCCCGCGAAACTAAATTTTCCTTGAAACGTAGCGTAAATTTCCCCGCTATATTTAGCGAGAAAACTTTCCCCTAAATTTAGCAGTAAAAGTTTCCCTATATTTAGCGGAACATTTTGCTAAAATTTCTGGCCAAAGGTGAGGGCAGCAGGCGAGGAGGAGGGCAGGATACGGAAGAGGAGGAGGGGCATACCCTCCTTTCCGTACCCTCCCCTCCTCCTCCTCAAGTTCTGCGGTCGAATTCGGCATTACAAAGAATTACAGAAAATCGCAAATCCATAATCGCATTTGCGATTATTCAGCGGAATCGCTGTATTTCGGGAAGAGGATGCATGTTTTCGTCAAATTGTGGAACGATAAGGGATATAAAAGAAATACAAACCGTCAATTATTTCAACCTTAAAATTCTTGCACTGCCCCTTTAATGATATTGTACTGAGGTTGACGTGAAGCATATTTATGTTCTCCACCGCAGCTGCGTCACCTGGGGGGCGCCAGAAAACTGCCTCCTAGAAAAGAAGATCAAGCCTCACCCGGGCTGCTGTCCCAAGGTTGTCTGCCCACCCGTCCGAACGTAAACCTGGCGCTGAATACGGATCCGGAGCGCCTCACTCGTACGAACAAGATCAGGATCAAGATTTTATTTTCATAAAATTGCAAGACATAGTAATAAACATTGTGCGGCACCCTCAATGGGGCCTGTTTTACCCGTGAAAGCGTGTAGATTATGCGGAATCACATTTTATAACCACTTGTAAAACAAGTGCATGGAAACTTTTGTTTTTAAATTCCCGGATCAAAAATATATTGACCTTTTCACCCTTTGGTCGCATGGTCGCTGCCATCTTGGAATCACGTGACGCGGCCGACACCAGGTGGCTTCAAATCGTCATTTCCCTCTGCCCTGCGCGCCTCCGTCGCGTTTTACCGCGATGTTTTTCTCTTGCTTCGTGGCGTCTCAGAATCTATTCGCCGGTCCCTCCTTCCACTAGATATACGAACAGCTTTCAAACCCCATATAAAATTACGTAACCTCATTTCGAAGCCAAAAGATCCAACCCCTCCTGAATCTCAAGGTGGTATTGTATACAAAGTGAACTGGCAGGGCTGTGACAAGTGTTACATCGGAGAAACTGGCCGGAAACGGAGTACCCGCCTCAAAGAGCACAAAAGAGACGGGGAGAAGGCAACACATGCCACAAGGTCAAAAACTGAACTGGTGGAACATTGTTGGACGACTGGTCACACTTTTGACCTTGCGAATGCTGTGACCCTGGCACGCGAACAACGGTGGGGCCCCAGAAGATTTCTGGAATCATGGCGTATTCCCAGTGACCCATCCGCCTGCAATTCTAACCGCGGCCCCCTCCCCGACGTGTACACCGAGATCCTGAAATAACTTTTCATTTAACTTCCCATCCACGACGGACGTAAAAGAAGTTGAAGTGAGTGCAGACGATGATGTCTCCCGTATGCCATGAACGAAGAAGTCGGCAGAACCAGCGCTACGGATGAAGAGAAGGAAGAATATAGACCTTTTCTTTAAAGGGGTCATGAAACGAATTTCGGGTTGGGATGAATGATTTTAAATTGGGACTTTACTAATCGCATATTGTTTAGTTGGCCAAAAGAAAGAGGCTAGAAAGTCAAAAGCCAACTTTTCGGTACGAACATTTGAAAATATAGCGGACTATTTTCTACCTTCTTGCCTTCGAAAGCTCTCCGCCTTTTCACTATGATACATCCGCGGTTCCAAAAGCGCGTCACCGGCGCCAAACTGACGTCAGCAGAGCCCAGCTCACGCATTGGACACGAGAACTGCGTCACTCGGACGTATGCGCTCGTCAACAATCAATCCGTCGACGAATATTTGGATTCGCGTTCGTGGCCAATGAGTGCCCTGACGGAACTTATTGTCACTGGGGAATGACAAGTTCTATGGTGTGCATAAAAAGCGCGGTGGAAGCTAAGAGTCATCGCACCGGTGCCGAAGGAATGTCACGACCACGTTATTTCACAATTCGCATTTGAGTTGAGGATTAAAGCGAAGGAGGAAGAAGTAGGAAAATCGTTTCATGACCCCTTTAACCCCTTTAAAGGCGCCGCCATCTTGAGAATTGCGGAGCCAACGAAGCCGTCTAGCGGCTTAGAAAAAGAGATACCGGCTAGTTCTGGCAGCACAGCTATCTGGGTAGGCAACGGTGTGGGTATGGGGGGAACTTGGCTAGACTTGGCTATGGTGGGCTGCAATAACTTAGTTGGAGCTTGTCCGGTTAAATCCAGCTGGCTACTCACAGGCCATCACCTTGCCGCCTCGAGAGAACGAGGACGAAGACGGTGAGGTGTTTTGATTGAGTTTCCACAGCGAAGTATATATGAGCAATTTAAAGGAGCGATGCAACAATTTTTGTACTTTGCGCAAATACCGCTTAAAACGGATCCCTAACGTTAATGACTTATGAAACACGCGTTCGTTTTTCACCCCACGCAATAGAAGTCCCAGAAAAAAATTAAAGACAAACGAGCAGCGTTCACCCCCTCAACTCGCAGCTAGTACAAGCGGCCACGTGATCTGAAGCCGATTATATGCCGCCAGTGTTGATCATAGCCACGCGCTGGGGTTGGCAAAGCGCAGGACACGCGCTGAGTTCCAGACATTGTTATGGCTCGGCTGTTGTCGTCGTTGCAGCGATTGGACACGGGTCACTACCCGAGGTAGCGATTATCACGAGCCCAAGTCGAGTGCCCACGCAATGCTCGGGACCAATCTATGAACCGCATTTAAACATCGTCACTTGGGTGTACTGCGATCCCCACGGTACGTCACCAAATTTTGCGAAGGAGAGATTGAATGAAAATGATCGCTTTTGTCCTTGAAATTACACCGCAACAAAGGAGTTTCTTGGCCAGTGGCGTTGCGTGCGAGTATCCTTGAGTCCCAGGTGTGCCAGTAAGCTCGTGTCAAGTGAAAAACATTTCAATTGAATATCGTTGCACAGCTCCTTTAATGTAGTCTATATGTATGCAGGTAAGCTCTCGACATTTGATAGCTCCATCTTGAGTGGTGGCATGTAGACTTTTTCATACCTTTCACATTCCATGGGGCTTGCAGTGATAACCTAATTGTGCCACCTGCACCGGGAATTAAAATCTGTCCTCTTGCCGTAGACGAAGTGGTCGTGAGCTTAAACGTGACCTTCAGTCTGATATGAATCTCTCGCGATTCAATCTCGCAATCGACTGATTTCATAAATAAGGATTCTTGGGGAAAATACGAAGCTCGATAACATTGCAGCCACACTCGCGCTGCAACTTCTTGTGCTCATGGCACAATTTCTGCTATTGTTCTTGTGTTTTTGAAATTATTTATCCATCCGAGGACCACGCAGTGGAAGCCAGACAACCATAGATTTTCGGAAATTGCAGCACGGTAAAAAGGAGCACTCGGAAATAACTCATGCACGACGTCCGTTTTTAAGCCTTTTCGCCCATACCCTAGGCGGTTGCATACCCTGTGTCAGCGGGCAATCTAAAAATGCACCAGGACGAGGGTACATCAGTTACTGGCTGGTTTGAGGTTATGCGGAAAAGGTCTATACTCTGTTTCACCTTATGATGTACCGCAGGAAAGGCTACAAGCGCGAGCTCCTTGCTTTAGGGCGCATCTCAGCGGCACCAGCTCTCGTGCAATAAGGGCAGCTGCCTACGCTGTGAGCTCGCGCTTCTAGCCTTCGTTGCGGAACAACATAAGGTGAAACGAAGTATAGTCGGGTGTTCCCAGGCCGCACTGATGATATCTCCCGCATAGGAGACGAAACGTCTGATAAATTGTTGGTATTGTTATGCAAGTCGGAGGTATTTGTTTTTAATGATGGTGGCACTTGTGATCAACGCAGCACCAAAGCAAAACACGAGGCCAGCCGCTGGCCGCACACCATCCCCACACCACCACACCGCGAAAAAGGCGAGTACGCTACGACGCCGACACCATGGCCGCCGAGAAGGGACCTCATACCTCAGCGCCCTCCGCGGCGGCGCGGAACTAACTACTCCTGGTTCGAGGCGAGCTCCAAACACGATCTGGTCGCTCGCTCCCCACAGGAAGAGCGGCCAGATTCATCACCTAAATATGTTTCTTCCATCGTGAGCATGTCGCACGAGAAATGCATGAGTCAATAGCCCTTCGTGTTTGACGTGTGCGAGTATTTCAAGCTCTTACTAATTCGTATTCGTAAGGTGGGCGATGTTTTCAGTCAGGAGTGACGACTCGGTGACGTCTTCGTGCGAATCAGCTTGGTGGTTGGGCGTGTCGTACGGAATAAGCTATAATATGACGTTTTAGGAAATCACTGATTCGAGATTTTTGGGAAGAGAACGCGCGTGCACACCACCAGGGCTCTCAGGAGATCTCACTTGAAGGCATGCCATGGTCGGTCGTGAGTCGAAGGAACGCGAACATCTGTTTTCATACGAGAAACTTTGGAAACCAGGATTAATAGAGAAGTGGATTGTTTTGATCGACAACCTCTTTCGAAGCCAGACCAATTCGCCCATGCCGCAAACAACAGTTCTGAAGTGGAGGTCTCATACCCGTCGTCCGCCGCCACCGCTTAGTCTGCTTCGTTGAGCCGTTCAACGAGCGACTTCGGAGGTACGACGCCATGCGGGGAATCACGCAGAGAATGCACAAAATGCTTGCAATTTTCTGTACATATTCTTTTTTTTTTTTCTAATCAAAATATTTAGAGTTTTTCAGAACCGACAAGCAATGTATCATATTTTTCTTTCTAGTTTCCTTATATTGAGCGTGTGCCTTCGATGATCCACGACTTTAATTCTACGAGGCAGAGTAAAAAGGTAACAGCAATTTAGCCGTAAGAAAATCAAATTTAGCGATAGACTGCTGCACTGGAAATATGTTTTGACCTATTACGAGAGGGAACTGTGCACGCCGGCCTGGCGACTTGATGGGAAATGTCACGTGTCCCCAACACTTTCAAAATGGCCGCCCCCTTTTTAGCATGCATGCAACAGGGAGGAGCAGAGTTCGGTTATTCTATTTTTGGGTGTGGAGTTCGAAAAAACTGCGGATATTCATCGCAGGATGCTGAAGCAGTACGGAGACGTCTGTGTATTGCTTCGGCCGGCGTACGAATGGCACGAAAAATTTCAAAGTGGAGCGTCCAATTTGATGGACGCACCTCGCACCGGCCGGGCTCACACTTGATCAACGCCGGACGCAATCTCTGCTGTGGAACAGCGTATACACGGGAAGCGTCGTGTCACCCTCGATCAAGTGGCTGAAGAACTGAATATTAGTCACGGCTCGATGCACCATATCATTCATGATATTCTAAGGTACCACGAAGTATCCGCCAGGTGGGTACCAAAGCAACCTACGCCGGACCTTATAAGGAGCGGCGTGTGGATGCTTGTGAGACGTTACTGCGACGCTACGAAGCCGAGAAGAATTATTTTCTTCGACACATTGTCCCCGGTGACGTAAGCTGGGTATACAGTATGCCCAGCCAGAAACAAAGCGAGCAAGCGAGGAGTGGCGACACACAACGTCACCAACGCCAAAGAAGCTCAAGAGAGCGCTAACGGTGGGCAAGCTAATGCTCGCGGTATTTTGTGACCATAAAGACCCAATAGTCGAAAATTACATTCCCAAGGGACTCACTGTAAACAGTGCATCATACTGCAACCTGCTTGAGAACCACTCGAAGCCTGAAATCGCGTCAAAGCGTCGCGGATTGCTCAGCTAAGGGGTGTTGCTGCAGAACGACAATGCGCGCCCTCAGACAGCGGAAAAATGAAAGGTCTGCGGTTTGAGTGTATTCTGCACCCACCATACTCGCCAGACCTCAAACCGAGAGATATTAAACCTATTCGGAGCCCTCAAAGGGTCCCTCGGGGGAAAGAAGTTTGATGCAGATGATGACCTGAAAGCGGCGGTGCATTCCTGGCTCCGAAGTCAGCCGCAAGATTTTTTTTCCACTGCATTTATGCCCTTGTGAAGCGTTGGCGCACATATATGTCGAGTGGGGGGGGGGGGGGGGGGGGGTGACTATGTAGAAAAGTAATAAAGGGCTTTTCATGGTATATCTATAATACTACGGAAATAAAAAAATAAATCACGAGTACGTTTTGACTTTGCCTCGTATATGGTGTGTCTAAACCATAAAGAACGGCACGTGATCATGAAGGAGAGATTGAGCGCGACTCAAACTGGCCAGTTCTCGATCGGCGGTTTCGGCCAGTTCTCGATCGGCGGAAAGAAAACGAATTTCGAGCCGCAAATTTTGTTCTGGGTGGTTTGGCTCTCATTTCTCATGTACAAATAAAATCTTGGCGAGCATAAATACCCCGTCAGTATCCCTTTAAGGGCAGATGTAGTCAACATATACGAGTATACGTAAGCGGTGAATTACCGAATTGTAGATTCAGCGAGCAGCAGTAAAACGCAACATCGAGTATAAAACCAACGTAACAATACTGAAACTGGAGTAAACATTCCTTTTAACATGCGAGGCCATCAGCTTCATAAAAATTTAGAAACGACCTTTTTTCACCAATTATTGGCCAAAAAATTTGATACCTAAAACGATATATTTGATATTAAAGAAATGAAAAACACCGCAGCAATATCCGAACGTTGCCGACCGCCGTATCATTAACGACCTTGCAGCTACCGGATATACAAAAAAAAAATATCTCAAGGGCTTCCTGCCTCTAACAAGGAATGGCCTAACATTTGTTTGGCCCGAGCACAGATTACACTCGACACCGCTTCGATCACATCTTGGAAATGCAATTCGCTGTGTATTTCAGTTGTTTCGCCCTTGGCGTTGCAGTGTTGCCTCAGTTCTCTAAAGCAACCTTCCAAGTTATCAACGTGAATGTAAAGAATGGTGAGCGACTTGTATTATAAGAAATTTTAACGCCTCAGTGGCAGAATTTGTTTTTGGTGCCTAGAAGTTAAAAACTATATGTCTTGGATCAAACTCGTGATTACCTTGCAAAAGATCTCTAACGAAAACACTTTGATCTGGATCTTATCGCCAAAGGCGTAGCGAATATTGGGGGATGTTAATCAATCTACTCATTGCTCTCATTGTAGACAAAACCATTCAAGTCGATTTGATTTTTTTATCTCTGTATTTATAAGAGTTTAATGGGAACAATACCACTTACAAAAATGTTTCTGGTCAATATTTGGGTTTTTCAAAAACGTTTAAGGGTAATTGTTTACAGAATGTATAACGCAGTCAAGTAGTTCTATTCAAATATAATGCGTCGGTTAAAGCACAAAAACCTTCTCACACATATAAGCTAACATAAAAAAATTTGAATATGGAAACTTTCAAGGATTATTCGACTATTCACGCTTTCAATAAAACACAGGATTGATACCCAAACTATTTCAGGATTCTACTAAACAAAAACCACGTTTTCAACTGATTGTGAAAACACGTAACCATTCTATTGAGACACATATACGAAAAAGTTTCATATATAATTAACTCTGTCACAAATTGTGTGTATAAGATGATAAAACACTCTACGTCTTTTTTTGCTTAATTGTAACTAGCTGTATTTTCTTTTTCCCTCAAACAAATGGTAGAGTTTGAAATTTCGCAGGAAACTGCAGCTACGGCGGTCTCCAGATGGAATCAACCACGCTGAATCTTCAAAACGATCCCTGCGAAGCTTGGACCTGCGACGCAGAAAACGGAACCTTGTTGATACAGAGGTAACTGTTTACCATGATAACTATCCGCTTATTATGTGCAGATATTTTATTATGTGCCGATATCAAATAGAAATAAAGGTGTTTTTTTGTCGTGAATTATACAGAATGATTTGGAACTGTTTTAAGAGAGCCGTGGAATCTACACTAACGCAGTCTGTGCAGGTAAGTTCTACGGCAAGGTTCCATAAGATAGGGGGCTAATCGTCACTGTACGTAAAAAAAATAGCTAATGGTTTTTCATTACTTTTTAAATTTGAGAAAATAAACATATACCTTAAATTAGCAGCTTGCTAAGAGGTCCACTCTAAACCACTACGTTAGTAAATTTAAGAAACATTTTAAAGGCGTGGGAAAGCGCCGTGGCGTACTAGATTTACCACTCGCGCAACATGCGCAAGGCTGGAGGTACGGAAACCTCGATGACGCGAGGCTAGCGCCATTTGCAGGAGTGGTAACTTCAGCGCACAAATGAGCTTCCCCCGAACTTCAAGTCTCTAGAAAATTATTTCATAGTTGTTTTCGGTGACGTTTAGCGAATTTGTAATTTTAATCTTGTGTTCATATTGTCACGGGTGGTGACCAGAATAACAATAAATAAACAGGAAGAACTAAACGTTTAATGTGGCGAACTTGTGCCAAAACAAAAAGAGAATAGAAAATAATAACAAAGCGTCGCGAGCGTCGAGGTCGGCGAGACAGCAGAGTCGAGCGCTGGGGCGAAACTGACTCGACAAGGTCGCGGGCGGCCTCTTATCTAGAGTGCGTCGCTATCTCGAAGATTCGGCGAAAGCGGCTCGAGCGTCGCGTGATCGGGCGAGAATGAACACGCACTTTCTAGAAAACAAAAGCAGGAATAAATGATAGAAGTTACATGCGGTACATGAATAAACGAGAACTTTCTGGAGGTCCGTGACCGAGCGTTGCTTTCTCAGCCCTGGGCGCGGCATTATCCCCCCCTTTAAAAGTGCATCGTCCCGATGCAGCACAAAAACGGAAAACAAAAAACAAAAGGACAGCAGAATTGCTAGCCGGAGTTCACAGTCCACAGTTCACTCGTCGACGATAGTGGAGAGTCCTATCGTTCGTAATACGGCTTCAGCCGGACGACATGCACCACCTCGGGTCGCGGCTGACGTCTTGCAGATGGGCGCGTTCCGTCGGGTAGAACCTCGTAGTTCAGATCGCCGAGGCGTCGGATGATCTTGTAGGGCCCAAAGTAGCGCTTCAGGAGTTTTTCGCTGAGACCGCGACGACGAATCGGCGTCCACACCCAAACTCTGTCTCCGGGCTGGAAGTGGACGTCGCGGCGGCAAAGATTATACCGGCGAGCGTCGACATGTTGCTGGTCTTGAATTCGTAGTCTGACTAGCTGGCGGACCTCTTCTGCCCGTTGAGCAACCACCTGGGCGTCATCGCTCCCGTCGTTGACTGACTCGTGCGGCAACATAGAGTCTAGCATAGTCGTCACCGCCCGGCCATACACCAGCTGGAAGGGCGTCACTCCTGTGGTCTCTTGCACTGCTGTGTTGTAGGCGAACGTGACGTAGGGCAGCACTTCGTCCCAGGTCTTGTGCTCCACGTCGACGTACATAGAGACCATGTCGGCGATTGTTTTGTTGAGCCGCTCCGTCAACCCGTTGGTCTGCGGATGGTATGCCGTTGTTCGACGGTGTTCCGTGTGGCTTAGACGCAGGATCTCTTGGGTCAACTGTGCCATAAACGATGACCCTCGGTCTGTGATCAGTACTTCGGGGGCGCCATGGCGGAGGACGATGGACTCGATGAAGAACTTGGCGACTTCGACAGCAGTCCCCGAAGGAAGGGCTTTCGTCTCGGCGTAACGAGTAAGATAATCGGTGGCGACGATTATCCAGCGGTTCCCCATCGTCGACGGTGGAAAAGGACCCAGCAAATCCATTCCAATTTGCTGGAAGGGCTTGGTTGGCGGGGTAATCGGCTGAAGGAGACCTGCTGGCTTTGACGGTGGTTTCTTGCGTCGCTGGCACTCATGGCACGATCGTGTGTAGAGATGGACGGTCTTCGGAAGCTTTGGCCAGTAGTACTTGTCACGAATCCGGGCAAGGGTCCTGCTGTAGCCGAGATGTCCGGCCGTTGGGTCGTCGTGGCACGCTTGAAAAATTTCTTCTCGGAGGCTGGCAGGGACAACCAGTAGCCAGGGGGTTTCGCTGGTTCCGAAATTCTTTCTGAAGAGCACGCCTCGCCGCAGGACAAAGCTCGGTAGGTCCCGAGAAAAGACCCGTGGGACAGAGCCTCCTCGACCTTCGAGGCTGTCGATCACGGAGCTAAGTTCCGCGTCGCCGCGTTGCAGTGCCCTCATGTCGGTAGCGTCAACTGCGCCTAGAAAACGGGCGTCGTCATCGTCCTCCGCGCCGGAGATTGGAGGTTCGACTGGAGCCCTAGACAAACAGTCAGCGTCATTATGCTTGCGGCCGGACTTATGCTCAATGGTTACGTCGAATTCCTGCAGTCGAAGGCTCCAGCGGGCGAGGCGTCCGGACGGATCCTTGAGGTTTGCGAGCCAGCAGAGGGCGTGGTGGTCTGTGACCACGCGAAACGGGATCCCGTACAAGTACGGGCGGAACTTGGTTATCGCCCAGACGACAGCAAGACATTCTTTGTCGGTTGTTGAATAATTTTGTTCTGCCTTAGACAGCGCCCGGCTTGCGTAAGCGATTACTCTCTCTGCCCCTTCTTGTCGCTGAACGAGTACCGCACCGAGACCGGTATTGCTGGCGTCCGTGTGGATTTCAGTCTCCGCCGACTGGTCAAAATGTCCGAGGATAGGGGGCGACTGGAGCCTTCGCTTGAGTTCGTCGAACGCTTGCTCTTGCTCCTCTCCCCACTGGAACTGCACGTCGTCTTTCGTCAGATGCGTCAGCGGTGCAGAAATCTGCGCAAAATCACGAACGAAACGTCTGTAATAGGCGCACAGCCCAAGGAATCTTTGAACGGTCTTCTTGTCCGATGGCTTCGGGAACTCGGCGACAGCGGACGTCTTGGCGGGATCAGGGCTTACACCCTGAGCACTCACGACGTGGCCCAAGAATTTGAGCTCACCATAGGCGAACCGACACTTGGAAGGCTTGAGGGTCAGCCCAGCAGCTTTGAAGGCCTGTAGAACGGCTCGCAGTCGTCTCAGGTGCTCGTCGAATTCGCTTGCGAAGACCACAACATCGTCGAGGTAGACGAGACAGCTTTGCCATTTCAAGCCGGCAAGGACGGTGTCCATAACGCGCTGGAAGGTTGCCGGCGCTGTGCACAGCCCGAATGGCATTACTTTAAACTCATACAGTCCGTCCGGCGTGACGAAGGCCGTCTCCTCACGATCTCGTTCGTCGACCTCAATCTGCCAGTACCCGCTCTTCAAGTCCCTCGACGAAAAGTATCGGGCGTGGCGTAGTCGGTCCAGGGTGTCGTCGATGCGTGGCAGTGGGTAGACGTCCTTTTTTGTTACGGCGTTCAATCGGCGATAGTCCACGCAGAACCGAAGAGTCCCGTCTTTCTTTTTCACCAGGACTACCGGTGAAGCCCACGGACTGCTTGAGGGCTGGATAATGTCGTCGTCAAGCATTTCTTGTATCTGCTGCTGGATGGCTTCCCTTTCTTTCACGGAGACCCTGTACGGCGGCCGATGCACAGGGAGTGCGTCGTCATCAGTAATTATCCGATGTTTCGCAACCGTCGTTTGGCGCACTTTCGACGACGTGGAGAAGCACTCACTGAACTCGGCGAGAAGGTCACGAAGTTGTCGTCGTTGTGGGGCTGGGAGGGATGGGTCGATGTCGAGCTCTGAGGACGTGATTGTCTTGTTCTGCGTCGGAGAGGCGTCTTCTGAGATCACGGCGATCCCGGCTGAGTCTTCAATTTCCTCGACGTAGCCCACAGTTGTACCCTTTGTAAGGTGCTGCGACTCTTGCCGGAAATTGGTGACAAGGGCTACTGTACGCCCGTCCTGGAGCTCGGTTACGGCTCTTGCAATGCCAATCCCTCGTCCGAGGAGAAGTTGGACGCTTCCTTCCAGCAGTGCTACACCGCAGGTGGCTCCTTCGGTCCCGACGGGCACAAAGACACTCGACAGCGGCGGCAGGTTTACGTGGCTGGCGAGGACTCGCACTGCAGCTAACGTCGGTTTGGTATTTTCCACCGATGGGGCAGGCTTCCGAAGCGTCAGCTTGTTCTCCGCAAGGTCGATGATGGCGCCGTATTCACACAGGAAGTCCATTCCGAGAATGACGTCCCTCGAACAGTCTTGCAGAACGACGAACTTCACAGGGCATGTTTCGCCGTGAATCTCGACGCGAGCGGTGCATCTCCCGACTGGTGTAATGAGGTGTCCTCCGGCGGTTCTTATTTGTGGTCCATCCCACGGCGTCATGACTTTTCGAAGGCGGCGGGAGAGCCTCCCACTCAAGACTGAGTAGTCTGCTCCGGTGTCCACGAGTGCGGATGCGTCGTGGCCGTCGATGACGACGTCTAGGGTATTGGACACCACTGCAGCGGCGTCGTTTTGGTCTCTGGTGGCGTTCGAGTGGGGGCCCCCCGACGTTCGTGGAGGATCTTGGCGTCGGTCGTCTTCGGCAACTCCACCTCCAGGGGTTGCCGCGCCTAGTTTCCCCGGCGAGGAGCGAGGGGGGACAGGCTTTCACGTCGCGGTCGGTGCATCGTCGAAGCTGGACGTCGCGGTGACGGCGACCGGAACTCTCGGCGGGACGCAGGCTCGGGGGACTGAGGTCGTCGCAGGTACTCGTCGATCTCGATAGGGCGTTCACCATGACGGGGGCGCGGGTCGTTCGGGTGGAACCCGCGTAGCCCGAGTCGTCGGTATGGGCATCGGCGGTAGGTGTGGTCCGCTTCCCCGCAATGGAAGCACAGAGGGCGTCGGTCGGGCGTTCGCCACAGGTCGGTCTTGCGGGGTGCGCGAGGCTCCGGGCAGGCGTACTGGACCTGGTCGTCGTGGCGTCGGTCGTGCTGCGGCGCAGGAGACTGACGTCGGGGCGGCGTGACATAGGTGCGGCGAGGAGGCGGTGGCCGTCGGGCCACTGCGGCGTAGGTCAGGGCGGGCTCTTCGGGTGGTGCTACGCAGGCAGGATCCTCCGGTTGAATTGCCCGCTGGACTTCCTCGCGCACCACTTCGGCGATCGACAGCTCAGCCGGCTGGTTGGCAGCAGGCAGCAGCTTGCGGAGCTCCTCCCGGACGATGTCCCGGACGATTTCCCGAAGGCCGTCGACACCGGTGGCGTTCAGGTCTAGTCGGCAAGATGCGGCGGTTCGAGGAGCAGGCACGCCGGCGAGTCGATGGTAATGGCTTGCTCGGGCCGACAGCGCTCGCTCGATGTTAGTGGCTTCAGCCACAAAACCGTCGACGGTTGTCGGGGGATGGCGGACAAGGCCCCCAAAAATTTCAGCCTTCACGCCACGCATGAGGACGCGGAGCTTCTTCTCATCAGCTGCCACCGGATCGGCTCGGGCACATAGGCGCATGACATCCTCTACGAAGCTGGTCACGCTTTCGTTGGGGCCCTGCACCCTTGTTTGGAGAAGGTCCTCCGCTCGCTGCCGACGGTGGTGGTTGAGGAACGTTCGCTTCAACTCCGCGGCGCAGGACTCCCACGTAGTGAAGGACGCTTCGTGGTTTTCAAACCAATGCCTCGCAGTTCCTTCAAGCGCGAAGTAGAGATTGTGGAGGTATTGTTCAGTCGTCCATCCGTTGTGGCGGGCTACACGTTCGTAGTGTTGCAGCCAGTCTTCAACGTCCTCGTGGACGTCTTCGTGGAAAGGCGTTGGAGTCCTGGGTGCGATCGGCAGGTACACAACGGCAGAAGCGGCCGGGGTCTGCGCCTGGTTGGCCATCGTCGTCTTCGGCTTGGTCGTGGGTGGCAGAAGTCCGTGTTCCGGGGGTAGACCTCGGATGCGGCGACTTGACCGGGTCTCGATCTGGTCTTCGTCGGGTCCTCCGGAGCTGGGGTTTGGACTTGTACTGCGGGAACTCGGAGGGCTGCGCTGCACGGACATGCGGTACCCCGCACCTCCACCAAAATGTCACGGGTGGTGACCAGAATAACAATAAATAAACAGGAAGAACTAAACGTTTAATGTGGCGAACTTGTGCCAAAACAAAAAGAGAATAGAAAATAATAACAAAGCGTCGCGAGCGTCGAGGTCGGCGAGACAGCAGAGTCGAACGCTGGGGCGAAAACTGACTCGACAAGGTCGCGGGCGGCCTCTTACCTAGAGTGCGTCGCTATCTCGAAGATTCGGCGAAAGCGGCTCGAGCGTCGCGTGATCGGGCGAGAATGAATACGCACTTTCTAGAAAATAAAAGCAGGAATAAATGATAGAAGTTACATGCGGTACATGAATAAACGAGAACTTTCTGGAGGTCCGTGACCGAGCGTTGCTTTCTCAGCCCTGGGCGCGGCAATATTCACCAACTTAAAAGTTCATTATCAAAATGTTTGGTCATTATCCGTCATATCGTGACGATTAGACCCCGATATTATGGCCTCCTGGCGATATAACTCACCTGACAAGGCGGCATTAGTGAAGCATTAGCTGATTTTCTAAATCAAATCTCTACGGCCTAAAAAAAAGCACCCAGCATATATTAGGAAAGTGCATGCTCTAGCGGGAAAAAGGGGAGAAGGGAGAGTTGGCGAGTTGGCCAAGTATTTCTAGATTTTGTTTTTATCCCAAAGGCAGCGGTATTGCTTGGTTACGTGATTTTCTTTTACACGTTAGCTAAACTAGTTGGCGAGTCGACATCCTTATTTGACCATTTAACATAGGCAGACTTGTACCGTACGCATTACAAGTAATCAAATTACTTGTAATCGATTACTTTTTGTAGTAACTTTGTAATCAGTTGATTACTTTTATTAGGCAGTAATCACAAGAGTAATCTGATTACTTTTTGAAGTAATAAAAATTACTTCTAACCGTTACTATATTTTTACGGGACCCCCCCCCCCCCCTTTCCCGCACACCTTTTTTTTTTTTCCTCAAATGACAAAAATAAAATTTGCATCTTTTTTCGAACGGAAAAAAATAAAGATATTTGCGGAGCTGTAGGAAACGATGTGAACCCCTTTGTATGTACAGTTTCTGTGGAATATCCGTTTTTTTTTTTTTTTTGCGAGCTGGGACTGGGAGTGGAAAGCCCCAGGAAAGCCCCAGTGCGTGACAAAGGCCAGTCAGGGCGAAGTTTGAGGGAGCAGATTGTAGCTTTGTAAGTCTTTAGTTCAAACTAGCCCCTCGCACACACAAACAGAAATAATTAAAAAAAATCCTGCTTACGGTTTCTACTTGCAGCCCGTGTGAGAACCAGAACCGAAGAATGTCTAAAGCGGATGCAAAATATAACAAAGCCAGTTCAAATACACGCCAAGATTCCATGTTTCCCCTACGTGGTCTTCGTGACAAGCAAGGTTTCGCGGTTGGAGGTAGTTCATTGTTATGAGCGCTAAAGATGTAAGCGTTCACACAATAAAGTAATCGGAAAAGTAACGGTTACTTCTTAAAGTAATGTCCAATTACTTTTGCTGTTGAGTAATCAAGTAATCTAATCGAATACTTTTTAGCCAAGAGTAATAGTAATTGTAATCGATTACTTTTTTTTAGTAACGTGTACAAGACTGAACATAGGAGAGGTATATGGATAAATTTCCAATACACAAAATCTTCGAGTTCGCGTCTGCCGTCTGGTCGCCGCGCTATGCGGAGCGCAATCTCCTCCGCATCTTTTGCAAAGGGTTATGGTGACGTCAGAACGCAGGGTTCTCATTGGCTCTGATTGAAGAATAGTGGGTAGACCTCAAAGCAAGCTGCCTTGAGCTATACCCACTATCCTTCAACCAGAACCAATCAGAGCTCGGCGTTCTGACGTCACCACAACCCCTGCAAATAGAAGCAGACGAACTTGCGCTCCGCATTGCAGACAACAGAATAGCGTGATGAAAAGCTCGCGCCCATGCGCCGCACCGACGGCAGCGCCACCGCAGCTGCATGACGTAAGGGGCGCCGCTTGGTACCAATGGGCCCCTTCTTCTTTCTTCTTTCAAACGTCTTTATTTACAGACCAAATGAATGAGCGCCCTATGCGCTTTGCTGTATGGTCTTTTATCTCGTCGACTTATGTGTCCCTGGTGTTACCAGGGGCAGAGAGACGTCGGGCGGCGGCGATGATTGGCTCGTATTGCTTGAGCAACCTGGAGCCGAGTGGGGGCGCCTGCGGGTCCTCTAAATATCGGAGGATCGCCTGGAATGCCGCCAGGACACGACCAGGGTCAGGAGCGGATGGGGGGTTGAGCCACTCAGTAAGAGTGGAGGGGGGAGGTGAGAGGGTTGAGAGCGCGCGAACGCGGGCTGTTGAGTGGAGCGGGCAGTCCCAAAAAAGATGGGGGAGACTAGCAGGAATGTGGCAGTGGGTACACTGAGGGTTGATGTGGACCTCGGGATACATCTTTGCAAGCAGGGAGGGAGCGAGGAGCGCTCCTGACCTGCTGTAGAAGGGAGGTCTCGTGGCGAGTGAGAGGAAGGTGGGAAAGAGAGGGGAAGTCAAGGGGGTTAGCCTGAGTAGTCAGGTAATGACGCCATTGGCTGGCGTGCTCCTGCCGGGCTTCGTGTGAATCGTGAAAGGAGCCAGGTGTGAGCTCCGGTGGCGTAGGAAAAGTAGGGGCCCCGGCTCGCGCGGAGAGAAGTTTAGCGCGCGCAAGTCGGTGAGCCCTTTCATTGCCGGGTATGCCGCTGTGGGCGGGCACCCAGTCGATGAGGGGATGGTGGCCGGCTGTCCGGATAGAAATGGCTGCCCGATGAATCTGAATAGCGATGGCAGATGATGGAGATGAGTGGCGGAGAGCACGGATGGCTTCTTGAGAATCTGTATATATTACGATTCTGGAGGAGGGTATCAGGGTGAAAGTGTTAACGGAGGTTAAGCAGTGCAGTATAGCACAAAGTTCAGCGTGACTAGAGGAGCCGGGGGTCATGAAAACTTGTGTACCGCGTCGATGACCGTCGACATCGCACCATGCCGTGCTGAAGATTGGCGTGGAGTTATTGTCCACAGCCGCGTCCGCGTAGAAAACTAGAGCCGATGAAGAGCGAACAAAGACAATGGGCCCCAGAATATACATTATCACCTTTCTTTCCTGGTAAGGCACGAAGCCGTGAATACCATGCCAATGTGCGGGTCTAAATTTTTTCCCTATTCGTAGATGCGGTCGGCTCGACGTGCCAGAAGGTTGCGAGCTGCATCACCCAACGGGATCCTTCCCCTGCTGCTGTCCTATCCTCGTCTGTCCTATGTACTGAATGAAACGGTATCGAACCTTACAGAGCGTGTCGTACTGCGCACCCCATCGTCAAACAAAATAAACGCTGACAATTCACTTGATTTTTCGTTTCATTTTTTGTGTTATATGACCGAACTACAGACGGACGGGAGATCCTACTGGGTTGAATGTAACAAGCTGTGTAACGGTGGTAAATATCCCAAGTGCTATTAGCCGCCCATGCGGATGAATCCTCTCGTATTTTGAACGGAGCTCTTCACACATGTGCCTCGACCCGCCGTGCTGACATAGGTTTTGCCATAGAACTTGTGATCCTAAACCTTTGCGTTCCCCAACGAAACCTTCTGCCGTCAGGCCAAAGACAATAAAGGGATGAACCCTCGCACACATGTTACGTACGTCAAAATATAGTTTCCATGCTTCCAAAAAGATTCTTCTTTAATATGGACCCAGCACACCATGCGCCACACTCGGCTATGTCTGCCGTAGACTTGAGACAAGACTGATCGCGTAGGAAGCCATGTCAGCACCAGTTTTTTTGGAAATATCGCATTGGAAATATCACAAAGTCAAGAACCTTGATAGCACTAGTGATAAGACTAACATTAAATAAATGCGACTGCCTTTTTTTCTTTTATGTTCATTTGTGTGCATTCACGAAAATGAAAAAAAAAGATATATAAATAAACATCATTACCATAATTATATCAACGGAATCTTCTAAAATTGAGAATCTATACTTACTAAAGCATATATTTAGAGCCCTGTGCGGACAACAGTTTGAACATCCGCATCTGATCATTATTCGCACACTTTGTATTTCCATCCGAATCGCATCCGCAATGTTATTAAATTATTTTATCGGCATCCGTCCCACATCCGAACCGCATCCAAGAAATTCGGATCCGTATCCTACCCTCAATCCATGCACTGATTTTACATCATATAATCAAGCATGAATTTAAAAAAATAAAAGAATGCACCTGGATGGTATTTTATAAGTCGTCTGCTTACCTTTGTACAAAGAACTCTTCGTGTCAATATACGGTGAAAGTCAATTTATCGTATTTTGCTTTATTGTTTTTACAAAATATGCGATCACCCTTCCAGAGAGACTTCGCATCGCTGGACAGTTGATCGCAGTTACGGGTTGTTCTTGAGTGTCCGTGACACTGACACTCTGTTCAAAAGACGTCCTCAAAGCGAAGGAAATTTTAATATTAATTTTTATTTTTGCTGTGTAAGACCCACTTCAAGGAGACGCATATTTTATAAACATAAAAATTAACAACGTAAAAACTAATAATTTTGTTTGATTTCAATCAGGCAAAACAATAAAAAAAGAGGGAGAAGAAAGGGACTCACTCAGCGCAGCAGAGTATGCATGTGTATAGGGGGTAAGGCTCGAGTACGCCAATGGAAAAATATCACAGTATTCAATAATGGCATACCTCCTATCGTTTTCAGTTTTAAACACGAGCCCACAACTGCGTGCTCATAATTATATACTTAGAAACCACTCGGTGACAACTGCCGAGAAAACGAAAACCCACGCACACGCAGCGTTTCACTTGTCAAGGTTGCTGTGTAGCAGAAACAGACTATCGTCAACATGGACGGATTTAGACTGATTCGCCTCTCTTAAATTAATACCCGCCAATGAGAAGTCTTTCTACGTTGTTGATGAAACGCGTACGAGCCGGACTCAGCAAGAAAAACGGATTCATGGCAGTCTCTGAGAGAGCAGGCGTGCTTTTGAAACTTGAGAAAATACGAGAATACGAACTTGGAACGGCAGTTGGATGTCGCTGAACTGCCGGGTGAGCGGGTTCGCCAACTGGTTCACGTTCGTCCTCTTGTTCAGGGGTGTCCTCTTTAAGGTGTCTTCCTGTGGTCTTATTTCCTCGAAACGAGCGAACGACTGGATGACAGCTCTGATTCCTTCTGCTTCTGCATCGTCTCTAGCTTACTCGTGAGGCTTGGTCATGGCAAGACATTAAAGGCCGATTCTTACATGCAGCAAAGTGCTGATGTAGCGATGCTCACGTGTCGTCAGCTACTTATCGTCTGCCATGAGCTACAGGTTTGACGGTACGATAAAAACCTGGTGAACGCTCCCGTCAGCACGCTTGTAGCGCTATGCTTGTAGCGCTCCGCTGCATGTGTGAACAGGTCTTAAAAGCCTGTTCACACATACAGCGTAGCGCAATAAGCACAGCCCCGACCTCGCGCTAAGCGCGTGCTGACGGGTGCTGACGGGGAGCGTTCACCAGCTTCGTATACCGTCAAAGTTGTTCCTCATGGCAGACATGATGAGATAAAACAGTCCGAAAAGCTGAAAAGGTTCTTCGAAAAAAAAAACGAGTTAGAGGTGTATCCTAGAGTATTTTTATCCCGTGAATCTGAATGTTACGTTCGTTTTCCCTGAAGATGTAACTCAACGCGAAACGACACAAAACATCTCCGATCAGTCGTTACGATATAAAAAGGATCTTTGGGCCACCAGCGCGTGTCGCTCGTGTGGGCAGCACGTGTAAACTTGTCAGGTACATTCTCCCGCATTGACACCAATCGTTACTTCCTCTTTTTTTTTTTTTTAAATAGCGTAAAGGCCAGTTCAGACACTTGCGTTTGAGTGCGTTTGACTGCGTTGCGTCGAGAACCGAAAGCGAGTCACCGGCACATCTGTGCTTCATATGAAGCGTGGACTCCAATTCAAGGAATCATCATGGCACGCGATATAAGCAGCAGGGATGTCCTGGTTTCTCGCTGCCGCAACGCAGTCAATCGCAGTCAAACGCAACTGCCTGAACCAGGCTTAACTGTTTGCGTAGCTTTGATAGGCGCTGACGATGCGCGAGAGCAGAGATTTCGAAAACTTTTATGACGTCATTCTCCGGGAAGGAGAGGAACGGCTGCGGCACTTTGAAAATTATTTTCTGCAGCTACCGTGCACCAAATTCCAAAATAATCTCGATATTCGTGATGCTAGAGGCCAAATAAAAAACAATTACATGTTTTATTGAAATGCAGAACAGCTTCAGTTTCCCATTCAAGACACCAGGCGAGCAGTCGTACTGCACTGGCTAAATTGCTTATATACAGTTGAGACTCTAGATGCTTATTGGGGCCGACTAACTTCCAGCTGTCTAAACATGCACACAAGAGATTAGCTTACTATCATCTTTAGCCATAATTGTACCATGGTGCGACAGTCGCGCTCCCTAGATCGTAAATGATAGGCTCACAGTAAAGATGCTCGCTTATAATTTCGTGCCATGAATATAAGGTGTAAGGTTTCAATAATGTTCGTAAACAATCAAATGAATGGCGTATAAATGGGATATGGCTGAACCCCTTTTATAGACCCTTTCACAAGTTCGGTGCCATTTAGTGATTCAAGTAGTCTAAATTTGTGTATTCAAAGGACAGTTAAAATCTAGCATGCAGTTCTTAGTCAACGGCAGACATACAAAAGTTACGGTGTTCTTTTCTCTACAGCTATTTCTCTATTTGTTTCAGTTATTCATTCCAGGAACTTAGCTAAGAAAAATTATAAAATGATTTACAATTTATCGTCATGGCACGGCCACTCGATTAGGACTCCCCAACAGGGGGGATCGAGTGGCCGTGGTCATGGGCTGCCTGGAGCGTGCCGATGCTGAAAATTTTAAGGATTTACATGACACCTTAAACGCGGACCGCTTAGAAGTTCTTAACATCGTACAACTAGCGAACTAACACCTGGAATATTCAGGCTCCGCATCGGTGCCCGTCTACAAATTGTTGCTTCATTAGCCATCACAGGCCGCCATTAGCGTGTACAGATGATGTAAACGAAGGTGCTAATAGTTAACAGAATGGCCGGACTAGGCTTCAGAAAAACGTATTTTGGGAGGCGGGTTGCGCCACCACAACCAAGGCTTGATAGGCGTCAATGTACCCCCTGTAGGTCGTGAAAGTTGCGAATAGAATCCAGGATCATCAGAAATGTTCGGTTTGCGAAGTTTGGGCACGAGCTGCTCCTGAACACTTTCTTTCAAAAAATCCCTCCCTCGAACGAGACTCAGGGAATGGAAGCACGTACTAATCGCTCTCATACCCGCAATACACTCGTTCCGAAGATCACTATGGCCACTTCGATAACCATCACATAAGTGTATCATCTGTACATGCTAATGGCTGTCTTTTGGTGGCTAATAAAGGAAGAATTTGAAGACATGCACTGATGTGGAGCCTGACCCTTCCTGACGTTAGTCCGCTGTATTTTTGTTCTATATCTGCGAGACTAAGGTCACTGGATCCTGGGAAAGTAGCGCTATTGCCTTCCCTACCTGCTATTAGCGATGTGCGCGACCAAAAGCGTCGCTGCGGTCAGCTTTCCGCGATTGGTCAGACCATGGGCATATGAGCATTGTCAGATTGTCAACTTTGACGGTGTTAGTTCCGGTTGCGATGGTTCCTAGCTTCCACTGTGCTTTTTAAACACACCATTGAACTCGTCGTCGCACCTGGTGGCAAGTAGCCAGGGCAACAACTGGTGACGTCACGGCTAGGCAAATCCCAGTCGTGACGATACGGATGGAAATCATTAGAGGGCGCCACCGAAATATATCGGCGCTAATACGGACACAAACAGATACTAACATGCAGACGACCAAAACTTCGCAAGGCGATTGGGTAATCTGTCTATATACGTTGCCAAGGACATCGCCATCTCGGTCCATTCAAATCTTAGAAGCATCCAGAGGCTCGTTCTAAACCAGTCGCGCCAAGATCACCATGGAGCATCATCATACGGAAGCGTTCCTCGCCAATATAAGCGTCTTTGGCACTGTGTGGGAAATCAACTTATCAATCATGCCTGTCTCCACGCTTCTCTTACGATTATATTGTTCTTCTTGCGCATTTCAAAACAGTAAACTCATTTTTCAGTGCCTCCAGGCACCTACACAGCATCTGGTAGTGGTAAGAAGATGTACGCTTGTTTCGCCGGTGTCTGGATAGAAAAATCTTGGTATACAAGAAATGTGTCCATAAAGCTACCGGTCCCCAGGGAATTTAGATCGGCTCACCAAGAACGGAGGAGTCAAGCAGAAATCGCTCATTCACGGATCAACATGGCGACCA